AATTAAATAAATAACTAGAGGACAGTAAGTACCACCCTCGGGATGTTCCACATGAAGAAGAAGAAGGTGGAGAGAGCTGTTATTCGGATAAACATGAGTCTGGGAGTCAGAAATGTCTATTGTACAGATAATCCCCTCTCTTGCAGCATGGTCGAGGCAGCTGTATCTCATTCCTTGGGCTTCCTCTTTGCCCACATCCATCCTATTCACCCCTCAGGCATATCTATTTGGAAAGTGTCCCATCCTTATCCATGCCATAGAAGCAGGGATCCTGAGGTTTGCCACATGTGACAGTTGGGTACCGCTGCCTGAACCCCAACTGTGATGCTTCAGAGGTTGCTGGATGAGGGGATCCTAACCACCACCACCCCACCGGAGTTTGCTGGATGCCTGTATACCTGAAACAACTTGAGCTGTCATGAGGGAGACAAAGGGAGTGTTAAGGAATGTTAGAGGATGCTACAGGCAGATCCCTAGTGGGATCCGAGACCCTCAAAAGCATTTCCCCAACAGCTGGATCAAAGCCGACACATCCTAAGCACCAGGAGTGAGCCCGGACCTCCACGGGCCCCCGTGGAGAAAAGCAGGGTATCTCCATTTGCTGCGGGTGTCATTAAAGGGTATGGATAGCCGGGTGGGGCCTCGGAACGCAGGGTCTGCAGCTGAGCAGCTGGTAAGTGAGACCCAGGAGTTCACATTTAATTAGAATTCCTGCCTGGGATGAAGGGTTGCGGCTGGCAGCCCAGGCCTTGAGCCATTGGTCATGGCCCATAAAGGGCCACACACGAATCACAGTACAGACCGCACTCTGCGGTTCCCATCTGCAACCCTGGTTGCCCCAGGATGCCACCAAACGCCTCTCTCTAAAGGCCACATGAGGCTTGAGGCCACGGTGTCCACAGATGGGCTCTATTCTTTCCCCAGGCCCCCTTCCACCTTTGATCCTAGGTGTAGGATGACCATTCAAACATCCACATGTCCACTGGTGACTTGTGGGGTTGGTGGAAGACCCAGCCTGGAAGGCCCATAGTCGGGAAAGATTTCTATCAAACTACGATTTTTAAAACTGTAAACGGCATCCAGGATGTGTAGTAGTGATGGAGTCGGCAACAGCAGGCAGCTGCCACACTCCCCGATGTTCCCTGCAGGCTCCAGCAGAGAGCCAGGGAAGCTGAGGCTCCTCCAACTTGGGCATCACAGAGGCTGTGCCCCACATGAAAAAGCTCCTCTCTGCTTGCTGGTGACGCTGAAGTCACCAAATAGTCTCCTTGCCACAGACACCTCGAATTTCCACGAGACTATCTCTTGCTTCAGTTCAATACTCTGGTTTTTGTTTGTTTGTTCTTTTGAGATGGGGTCTCACTATATAGCTCTTGCTGCCCTGGAACTCACTATGTAGACCAGGCTAGCCTTGAACTCACAGAGATCCGCAAGTTCTGGGACTAAAGGTGTACGCCACTATGCCAGGACACTTTAATACTCTGTATCCTGCTGATATGTTTTCCCCGTGAGTTTAGCTTTTAAGGAATTAGCATTCACTCATAGATTAGTGTGAACAAAGGATGTAAGGCCAGATTAATTTAGACAATGGGGAGACAGAAGTTTAGGGTACCAGGGTTCTGAGGGAGAAGGAAGATGGTAGATGTGAAGAAACTAAGCTCCCAACTAGCCAAAAACAAGCAGAGACATTTAAGTCAAAGGCAGTTGGAGGGTAAGCCGTTGGGACCATATTGGGGCCAGGCTCCGTATCCTACATCTGTAGCTACTAACTTAGCAGAAGCTAACTTAGACTGCTGCATGTCTCCTCAGCTGTCAGCAAGGAGACCCTGGGTGTCAGCTAGGCTGGGCTCAGGTGCATCTTGAGGATGGAGCATGGTTAAGAACTGTGTGGTGTTACTCTTATAATCCACGGCATCAGGGGGAGCCTGGCACACTTTCTGTTCCCACTGACACAAAGTGCAGCCTTCCCGGGGAGCCTCTTGGAGAGATGCCTCCTCATGGAAGCCAAGTGGTACCATTTCGGCCCCTCCCAAGAAGCTCCCGGGGTTTGAAGACAGAGATAAGTGCCAAGAAATCCTGGGAATCCTCCATTGCTCTCAGCCTGCAGAAAGCCACTACATGTGATTACCAACTTTCTGCTTTGCATATAAATGAGGAGCCCCCCGCTAATAAATCAATTCGCAAGCATCACAAGTAGGCCCTCATCCCTCTCTTTCCCTCCAGGCTTGCTGTGAGAGGCACCTAATTAACTAACAGCCAGGACTGCAGACTTGGATCTCCTGGGAAGCTCCACTCCTGGAGCCCTTCTCCTGAGGGCTTTCCTTGTTCCTCACTGATGGAGTCTCCCAGGACAGGCTGGCCTGGAAATGGTCAAACCATTAGAATGCAGGAATAGGGGCCTCTATGCTAATGGAGGTGGGTGATAAATAAACACATTCAATTTGACTAAAACAATCCATCATCCCTCAGCCTTCATGCCCTCCAAGTAGGTCTAGCTTTAATGCTGCTATTAGTAGAGGTCAATATCGCCTGTCACTATGGGAGGGAGGCTCTCTGTTGGCTCCTGCTCCCCATACACAGTTTTAGACTGTACATGTCCTTCGAGACACAGCCTCAACTCATTCATTTCTCATTCGTCTAGCCTGTAAAACCATCCATTGCTGGACACACATGTAGCGTACCAGGGACAGAACCAGAGAAAAGGGTCATGGTCTGCAAAGGGGGTACACCCTGGGACAAGACGACAGATGATCTGTTAGACTATAGTTTTTTTTTAATTATTATTTCTATTTTTTCTTTAAAATATTTTTATTGAGAAAGTGTGTGTGTGTGCAAGCACACACATACCACGGTGCCTGGGTGGCGGTCAGAGAACCACTGTGAACAGTCTGCTCTCTCCTTCCACCATGTGGGTCCCAGGGATTGAACACAGATTGTCAGGTCTACCGGCAAGCGCCGTTACCTTGACGATAGCTAATATATAAATACAGAAATACACCGGTTGTTATTTTTAGATGAATGCCAAAATATTTAGGACATATAACTTTATTTTTAATGTAGCCAGGACTGGTGGTATGTACTTGTATCCTAGCACTCAGGACACAGAAGCAGGAGGATCAAAAGTTTGAGGCTAGCCTGAGCTACATAGCAAGACCTGTCTCAAAAATAAACTTATGCATGGCTGCCTGATTTTTTTTTAAAATTAGCAGCTACTACATCTGTTTGGGGAAGAATATCCTGGGGCAATTTTGCAATGGCATGGGTCACATCCTTAAATGAATATGGGGTTGAGGGGAAATTACCATCAGGAAAAGGTGTCTGAACCTGCCAACAGAATCAAAAATGAATTCAAAATCAAATGCATAATGAATCCAAAGTATCTGTGGTGCGCTTCCCTGTGTTTCCCCATAGTAGAGCGTTGGGCTATTCTGCTCGAAACACACCCTTGGGCACATCAGAACTCAAAGCAGTTGCCCATTGAAATTCTGAATATGTATCTATGGTGTGGTGTACCTATTTTAATTTTCCAAATTCTGCAAAATGAAACACATCCATCTGCCAAATTTCATTTCTTTGAGTACCCTTTGGGTTACTTCCTGCAGGTAGTGGACTTTGGTTGTATAAAGAACAAGAAGGGCATTTCCTTATAATTTTCTTGGCTTGTTGTCAAGTGATGGAAAAAAAATCTTTTTTCAAACCTTTGCTATCAACATGGTATTTTATGAAATGCGGGTCTGGAAACATACATGGAAGAAGGAGGAACCCCAGATGTGCTCACTGATGATCCCGGGCTCAACAAGCTGTCGAGGCCAAGGGTATAGGCAATGTTGCCTATCATATCCCTGTGTAACTCCCAGAATGCCTAATGAGGCGACAAGAGATAGCTCAGCAGTTAACAGTACTGATTCCTCTTGCAGAGGACCAGAGTTGGGTTCCCAGCACCCACATTGGGCAGTTCACAACCTCCTGTAACTCCAGCTTCAGGGGGATTCGAGGCCTCTTGCCTCCTCTGGCACCTGCACACACACACACTTTAAAAATAAATAAATCTTTGCAGGGGACACCTAATGTTAATGAAGAATCAGACATCGGTTGCCACCTTGGCAGAATCTAGGATCTCGCGGAATCTGGGCCTCTGGGCATGCCTGGGGGATTATCTTGATTAGGTTAAATTAAGGTGAGAAAGCTCACCCACTGAGTGGCACCATTCCCTGGCTGGGACTGGGGACTGTGTAAGTGGAGAAAAGTTTTGTTGAGCCACCGCCTTGGTTCATCTCTGTTCCTGCTTGTAGACGTGCTACAATCCACAGCTTCAAGCTCTGCTCGCTCGCTCGCTCGCTCGCTCGCTGCCTTGACTATGCCGTCCTGATGAACTGACCCTGGCCTGTGGGCTGCAACACACCCTTCTCAGCCCAGGTTGCTTTCGTTCAAGTATTTATCACAGGAAAAGAAACTAAAACAGACAAGCTCTTGTTAAATAATAATAATAATAATAATAATAATAATAATAATAATAATAATAATAAAATCCCTACTTTCAGAAATGCAGACCATCAATGCAGATGAGGCATACAATCTGTAGATTGTAAAATACAGGTTTTAAATGCATTTAAAAAGAAGCAGCTAAACCGGTCGCCGCGCCCTCCCCCCCTTATAGGCTTCCCATCTTCCAGCATCACCCTCGAGCTTTCTCTCTCTTCTCCTGCATCAGGGGAATTCACGCTGAGAAAAGTTAGCCCTGGTGCCACCCAGAGGGCTGGCCTAGGAAGGGAGGGAGGAGCTGAGGAGGGTGGAAGGAATCACCCTGAGGCAAACCCTTGAGCAGGGAGAGGTCAATGCAGAGCTACTAATAGACTCAGCTCACCAAATTTGTTCAGGGCACCATGCTGAGCTACCCTTTACCTAGGGCTGGCTTTGAATTGGACCAAAGTTGGTCCAAGGACACATGACCCCGGGGCATCCCACCTCAGGCCTCCTGGCACACCTTGAAGTAGCCTGGGATGAAGAATTGTGCCCATTTGAATGGCTTCCTCCATATTTGGCAAGGACAAAAAGGATCTATTGGGAAGCTAGCCATAAATGAGACACACCAAGGAAAGCCTCAGTCAGGTGTCTGAGGACCCGGGAAGGAACACCTTCTTGGAGACTCCGTACCTCTACTTGCTAACTAGCTCATCAGCCCCTGGCAGGGTGGATTTTAGTCCTGTGGAGAGACAGAACATCATTGTGGAAGCATGGGGTATGGGGAAGCTACTTGGCCAAGGAGGGAGGGGAGGGGAAGAGGCTGGGTTCCCAACATCTCTGTCAAGGATATGTCCCCAGTATTACACCTGACTTCCTCTTTTACACCTGATCTCCTGTTTCTACACCCTCCCCCCCACACACACACAGCACCACCAGTCAGAAAACAATACCTGAGCTTTGGGGGAGTATGAAGATCCCAACGGAGGAGGCAGTTCAGGTGGGAGAGTGCTCGCCTAGTGTGCACAGAATCCGGGGTGCAGTCCCTAGTGCCTCATAACCCAGGAATGATGGTGCACACCGTAACCTCACCACTTGGAAGGTAGAGGCAAGAGAACCAGAAGTTCAAGTCACCCTCAGCTCCACGATGAGTTCAAGGCCAGCCTAGGGTGTATCAGAGTTTTTTCTTTAAAAGAGGGGTAGGAGTGGGTGGACCCAAACTGTAACAGGTAGATTCTGTCTTGAAGACATCTTCCACTTTGTTTGAACCAGGCAAGGCTTGAGGCTGACTCTCCGAGTCTATACACATATACACCCTCAGGCTTCGCATCAAGCCATGACCCTTCCCACTTTCAGTTCAGCCTGGAGATGTTCTCAAAGGTGAGATTTTTTTCCCCTCCAGGAAAAAATAAATCAATTCAGGCAGACAAACCTGAGATTCCCAGCTCCAGTCTCCTGCCCTTTAGGGGTTGTCCAGGACCTAGCCTCACAGAAGAAGTCCAGGTGAGCTGCCGAGGACCTTGGGAATCTGCATTCTTCAAAGGAGAAGTAGGGTCTGCCCTCTGCTCTCTCACCTTTGACCTCACAAAGCAGTTGCCTCCCATGAGCGTCTACTTGGGGGACCTTGGTGAAGCAGAAGGTCTACTCTTCTGAGGGAGCCAGGTGTTGAAAGGGGGACCCTATTGTTACCCAAAATTGCCATTAAGACCCCAGGTGTGGGCAAGAAAGAAAAACCAACCACATTTAGAACCTCACCTGCTGCATGCTGAAAATCACTAGCCAAGTCACGCAGGGCAAGAGAGGCCAGAATTGGCTTGTCGTTGCCACTCACTCCCACTGGTTCATGAAAGGAGGGCTGGGACAAGAAGGTGGGTCACTAAGAAAACTAGAGCGACTGTGAGAGCTCTCCCTGTCCCAAACGGAGTGAGGGCTCTCCAAGGGAATCACAGGACAGCTAAAAATGCCTGAAAAAGCTGGGCGGTGGTGCCGCACACCTTTAATCCCAGCACTCAGAAGTCAGAGGCAGGCGGATCTCTGTGAGTTCGAGGCCAGCCTGGTCTACAGAGTGAGATCCAGGAGAGCCAAGACTACATAGAGAAACCCTGTCTCACAAAAACAAAACAAAACAAAACCAAAAAAAAGCCTTTAAAAGGAAAACACTGATGTCCCTTCCCCAGATAGTGATGGAACTGAACTATAGAACCCACTTGGACAGCCTAGAAGCATGATTCAAGGCATCCAGTCCCCCTGGACTTTTGAGTCCAAGCAGAGGGTGCTTGGCACTTGTTCCTTTAGGGAAACATGGTGTTAGATCACTACTGTTCCAGCTATCAGGTGCCACAGGCCATGTGACTTAAATGCTTTGTCTCATGGTCCTGAGACGGAGGCATCAGTGACAGAATCGTGCTCCCGTTGGAACTTGGAGTGACAGCCATTCCGCACCTCTGCCCAGCTTCTCCTGGTTTGCCAGACATCCTTAGAGTCCCTTTGTCTTCAGAACTACACTCCACTATCTACCCCATCTCCACACAGCTATTTCTCTAGGTCTCTTCTGGTCTTCTTATAAGACTGACATTCAGGTTGGGGATTTAGCTCAGTGGTAGAGCACTTACCTAGCAAGCAAGCACAAGGCCCTGGGTTCAATCTTCAGCTGAAGAAAGAAAGAAAGAAAGAAAGAGAGAGAGAGAGAGAGAGAGAGAGAGAGAGAGAGAGAAAGAAAGAAAGAAAGAAAGAAAGAAAGAAAGAAAGAAAGAAAGAAAGAAAGAAA